TGCGAGAGAGAGAGAGAGAGAGAGAGAGAGAGCACATTGACATTCATTGAAAACGCTAAGCCTGTGAGCACTACTACAGCGCAACACAGGCTCTGTTTAGCCGCACATTCATTCGCATTCAGTCTATCCATACGTTTGTTTCAACACAAATACTAACACACATTGTATTGAAGTCCTCTCCAAATACTATACTTAACACCGATTTTTTTGCCGTCAATTAATTTGTTGTTTGATTTGAGAAAATATATATTGAAATATATCACCGATTGTTGTGTGGGTTTCGGACATACCTGACCCTAACGAGACATATATACCTATTTGTGGCACTGGTTTTACACACATTACAAACTAACCCAACGCTTAATATCTCCGATCGCTTATTAACCGAGATTTTTGTTGAGACAAAATTTGAAAACTTCAAACTTCAGGATCTATTTATATAACACTTTTTGTGTGCATAACATATACTAAAAGGTATAAAAAAGTATTTAATTTTTTAAATATTTAACTTTATATATAACTTATATAACAACTCACTTATCGATAATATTTATTTCACTGCTTATATTCACGTCTCTCTCATATAAATGATATTAAAATAGTTTATCTCTTATTATGTAATAATACTTTATTGTGAAGCCTATTATCAAACGTTAATCTAATGTAAACTCTCATAAGAAAATAAATGCAGATTTTTATTCACTCCGTATATTATAACACATGATATCCTCTTTGAGTTTAATTGTTATTAAAATGATTTTATGTTAAATCCTATTATAATATCAGATGTAATGGTTTTAAGCATTTTGACGGATATATACAGAGAGTGAAGGGATAGTGAAATAATGGTTAGTTTATGTGACTTCTCTCTACCTGTCAGTGCCCTCCCCTATAGACCCCCACAATAGGCCCTCTAATCTATTTATACATACAATTGAAGCACATTTTTGAGTTGAATTGTATTTTCTCTCTCATAAGGTATTCAATATATATTTAATGATAAAAATTAAAATAATTTCTCTTACGTTATAATCATTACTACTATATGTATAATACCTTTGAATGTAATGTACGGTTGTGTTTGATAGGGTGTACGAGAAGTTCATTATAATGAGTTCAACGCAATTCAACGTGGGCTTCAGCAGCGCTAAAAACTCGTCCAGGTAACCATCAATTGTCATTGTTGCTATTTTGCCAATTATTATACTGTATATATACATTGCATTGCGTATACGGCGTATACCTGTATATCGTATTATTATTATGCACTTTATTATATGATATACACTATTATTTTGCGCGAAAATGTTTTTGAATTAAATTTTGAATTTAATATTCAAATCAGAAATTGTTTTACGAAAAATAGTCACACATAAGAAATTACAGCACTATTTATATATGTATTTATTTCTAATGTATTGTATGAATGAATAGTCTATTTCTATAGAGAATACATTATATCCATAGGTTTTGACTTGACTTTCAAGGAATTGCGAGAAAATTGTTTTAAATGATTGAATTTTCCGTATTATTTATGTATTAATTCACGATATTCTCGCATACATTGTAATCAATGTGTTTAATGTAGTGTAATATTAATAGCTTTTTATCTATGAGTGCAATGATATGGTTATTGTTATTATTAAGCACTTTATACGTAATATTTTACACGAGAAAAACATAACGTAATGTAGTTTTCAAAGAAATCCAGTGATTAGTAAAACTAGTAAAAACTCGGTGTCAGTGAAAAAAGTCGTTGCATTTATTGTCTGCGGTTTTGCGCTAATGTTATGCATAATTGTGAGCAACAAAACAAAAAAGGCTAAACACAACACAACACAAGC